GAGCCCCACCTTTTTTAATGTTAGGAAATACTCAGGTCTCAGTGTGTGCCAGACACTCTTCTAAGTGCTTTATGTGTATTATGTGGTTTGGTTTCCCTTTAGTCCTCATAAAAGTCCTATGAGAAAGGTACTGTCCTCATTTTACAGAAGAGGAATTTGAAACATGGGGAAACCAAGGCACAGGAAAAAGTCAAGGTCTTTGGCTGGGCGCAGTGGTTCAGCCTATAATCCTAGCACACGAGATGCCAAGGCAGGAGAAATGCTAGAGCTCAGGAGTTCAAGACTAGGCTGAGCAAGAGCCCCTTCTCCCCTTCTAAAAATAGAAAAATTAGCCAGGCAGGATTGTCCATGCCTGTGATTCCAGAAACTTGAGAGGCTGAAGCAGGAGAATCACTTGAGGTTGCAGTAACACCACTGCACTCTATCTAGGGTAACCCGGGGACATTTGGTCTTAAACCCCAAAATGCTTCAAAATCGTCTTTGCTATGGCCTTTAAGAGGCTGCCTACTTCAGTCTCATTTTTCCATTTGAAATGTTTTTGCATTTTTGTTGTGACACCAAATTGCTTTGCGTTTCTCTGATAAAATGCTGGGTTTTGCTTTTGTGTCTTTGCTCATCTTGTTTTTCAGCCTAAGACATGTTTTCTTTCTATTTCTCCTTCACAACCCACGTTAGCCACCTCTTCCAGGGAGCCTTCCCTGGCCTTTCTCATGAGGATAAAATGTCCTTCCCCCAGCACTTCTGTCACAGCCATGCACCACTTTATGTTGAAGTGTCCTAGTTGCACATCCTTTGCTGTCACCAGGTGGCCATTCTCCTCTAGAGTGGAGGCTGCTCCTCTGTCCTGTATTATACCAAGGTCCTAAAACAGTATACTTTCAAATGACCTGCCAGACTCCATGGCAGGTTCTTTTCATTGATAGTATTCTCTAAATACTATCAATAAGGCCAGACACAGTGGCTCAAGCCTGTAATCCTAGTACTTTGGGAGGCCAAGACAGGAGGATTGCTTGAGCCCAGGAGTTCGAGGCTAGTTTGGGCAACATATTGAGGACTGTCTCTAAAATATAAAAAATATAGCCAGGTGTGGTGTGTTGCCCAGGAAACTGAGGTAGGAGGATCACTTGAACCCAGGAATTCAAGGTTATAGTGAGTTAAGATTGGGCCAGTCAGGCGCCAGCCACATACACCTAAGGTGGCGGGTTCGAATCCCCAGCCTGGACCCGCCAAATAACAATGATGGCTGCAACCAAAAAATGGCTGGCGCTGTGGCGGGCGCCTGTAGTCCCAGCTACTTGGGAGGCTGAGGCAGGAGACTCGCTGGAGCCCAGGAGTTGGAGGTTGCTGTGAGCTGTGAGGCCATGGCACTCTACCCAGGGGGGATAGCTTGAGGCTCCATCTCAAAAAAAAAAGAAAAAAGATTGGGCCAGTCCACACCAGCCTGAGCCACAGAGCTAGACCCTGTCTCTTAAAAAAATATATATATACTATCAATGGTCCTGTGATAGATACTGTTGCCCTCATTTTATGGAAAAGAACTTCAGAGAAGGAACTAACTAGTCCTTGAATTGCAGACTAAATAAATACTGGATTTAAACCCCTGTCTGATTCCAAACTCATGCTTTTCCCACTACATCTTTGCGTTCTGAAGTGTGATTCATTGAACAGAAGTTTTCATTCTGGGGTGCATAAAGACCTCACAAGGCATATACATGCACAGAAACTTCAGTGAATTTATTTCTAGATCTTCGTCTTCCTAGACGTGATTTCCCAGGATTCTTCAAAAAATTAAACACAGAATTACCATATGATCTAACAATCCCATTTCTAGATTTACCCAGAAGAACTGAACAGATATTCGTATACCCGCATTCATAGCAGCAGCATTCTCTGCAGCCAAAAGGTGGAAGCAACCCACATGGCCATTAATAGATGAATTGATAAACATGATATGTACACGTAATGGAATATTATTAGCCTTGAAAAGGAAGGAAATTCTGACAAGTGCTACGATATGGATGAACCTTGAAGACATGCCAGACACAAAAGGACAAACATTGTCTGAGTCCACCTATGTGAGCTATTTAGTCAAATTTGTAGAAATAAAGAGCAGTAGGGTGGTGGCTGGGGGATGAGGGGAGAGTCGACCGAGTGTTAGCATTGAATGGGTGCAGAGTTTCAGTTTGCAAAAATGAAAAAGTTCTGGAAATGGAAGATGGCAACGGTTGCACAACATTGTGAATGTTTTAATACTACTGAATTTAACACTTTAAAATGGTGAAAATGTGCTGGGTACAGTGTTTCACACATGTAATCCTAGCATCTGGGAGGTCGAGGACGGTGGATTGCCTGATCTCAGGAGTTTGAGACTAGGCTGAGCAAGAGCGAGACCCTGTCTCTGCTAAAAATAGAACAACTAGCTGGGCATTGTGGCGGGCAGCTGGAGTCCCAGCTACGCAGGAGGCTGAGGCAAGAGGATCGCTCAAGTCAAGAGTTTGAAGTTGCTGTGAGCTCTGATGCCATGACACTCTACCCAGGGTGACAAAGTCTCTCTCTCAAAAAATAAAAATAGGGCAGCGCCTGTGGCTCAAAGGATTAGGGTGCCACCCTGTATACAGGAGGTGGTAGGTTCAAACCTAGCCTAGGGCCAAAAACTGCAAAAAAAAAAAAAAAAAAAAAATAATAAAATAAATAAAAATAAATTTAAAAATGACTAATATGGTAAATTATATATATACATTACCACAATTAAACTGAATTCCCAAGGAATGGTGTCACCCTATTCACCATTTCCCACTTTACAGTAAAAACGGCACACTTCTTACTCTGAATGTTAATATGGTACATTGTCCTATCATTTCAAAACCTCTGGAGCATCAAAGGGAAACTGAAATATTACTATGCTTCCTTGGCTAAAGGCTTTTTATATTGCACATATTTCTATCCTAAGTATAGTTCCATGAAGACCAAAACCTGACATTAGAAATGGGGCAGCTTGCATTGTTTGGGGATAGTTCAAAGTCAGCCATAGTAAAGAAGTGAGGACAATTTGTTTCTTCCCATCTCCAATTATTATTATTATTATTTTATTTTTTATTTTTTGCAGTTTTTGGCCAGGGCTGGGTTTGAACCCACCACCTCCATCATATGGGGCTGGTGCCCTATTCCTTTGAGGCACAGGCACCGCCCCATCCCCAATTATTATTTAAGAAGGCATCAATCCTGAGGGCGAATTCTAAGAGAGCTTGGAATTTTGAAGTCATCCATTGCTGACAATCTTCACCTCTTAGACTTAGAATTTAGAATCACTTGAATCGGAATTTGTAATAATTTAGCATTAGAGTTTGGAACTAAGACAGCTGTCAGAGGGATTTGTGTTAACATGTTTGTTTGCATTGAAACATGAAGTGTTATGATATCGCTTCTGGGCAAAGACTTGAACTTCCCTAAAGGAAATAGATGAGTAGCTAATAAACACGTGAACATGTGTGGTGTCATTAGTCATGAAAGACATAGAGAATAAAACTACAATGAGATATTATTTCTCATCTATTAGAATTGCTAAAATTAAAAAAAGAAACCAAAGATACCCAGCGATGTAGAGGATCTGAGGAGCAACCGGCCCTCTTAGAGATTGCTGTTGAGAGTGTAGGAGGGTTCAGCTACTTTGGAAAACAGTTTGGCTGTGTGTTGTGAGCCACAGTTACTGTGTAACCTAGAAATTCCAGAATTATATGACTATCTGGATTATATTCATATGGAAAATATGATTAAAATATGCTATAGTGTATGGATTATATGAGGGAACGCATGAGCGCCTGCACACACACAAGCTTGGATGAGAATGTTTATGGCAACTGACTCATCATATCCGAAAAACTGAAATCAACCTAAATTCCTACCAACAGATAAATGGATACATTGTATGATAGTCATACAAAGGGTACTAAGAATAAAAAAAGAACAAACTGCTGATACATGCAACGACATGAACAAAACATGCTGAGTGAAAAAACAGCCCCCCCCCAGTACAT